CACCACCACCACCACCACCACTTCCACCATTACTACCACCCACCAACGCCGGCCAATCCTCGCCAAGCCCTAACGCACGTCGTTCCAAGCCCCGCCAAGCCAAGCCAAGGCATGCAACGCCACGCCACATCAAGCCAAGACGTCGAACCACGCCAGACCATGCCACGCCGAGCCGTACGAAGTCAAGTTGCACGACCTTTTGCAAAGCCCCACCACACTCTAGTGTCAGTTGCCCTACGACACCATCTAGTCTGTTTTGCTGGCTGTACGTCAACCTTAATTGCGCGAAGATGTGTCAAATGTCTTCTTTGTTGTGGAGTGTCCAGTGGCGCTCTCGGCACTTTCCAGTTTACCTGGAGGTTTTGGGCTCCGAATATGGCCGTCGTGACTGTTATATTCTATTATGAACTGTCTATTAAAATTAATTGTAATTACTATAGATCCTTACTTTTAGACAGTTAATTTCTTATTTAAAAATTTTCTAACGTAGTAGAAATTTTACGCATAAATATTTCTGTATAGGCAGTGATAGCTGAGTGCCCTGAGTGGGGATTAGAATGTAACAGTCACGATTTTAAAAATTTTACAAACTATAAATCCCTATTTATAAGGATGTAACTATGAAAATACAAAGTGAAATACTGTCTAAAAATAGGGTTCTATAGTTATTAAAACTATTAAAATCGTGTCGGGTACATTAGCATCCCCATTCAGGGTTCTCAGCTAGAACTGTCTCTACAGGAAGCCTCAGAGCCTCAGCACTAACACGTAATCGGTGCGTGTCACCAAACACTGGCCATCTCCTACCATCTTGTTTTCATATTTCAATCGGTGTGTACCAAAGAGTCCTAAAGTATCCCATACTATGTATAATACTCTTTAGTGGGTACAGTGTGGATACCAGATTGTGTCCTGTGATGATCTGAGTTACGCTCAATTTGTTACGTCTTTTAAAGTTTTTTGACGATTTTTACGTAAAAGAACGTATCTTTTAAGAGTAGTGTGTGTCCCAGTAATTACTTCAATGGTCCAAAAATTTGTTTTCGAATTTTCGAAAGATGAATCTTTGAATAGACATTGGTTGCAAGCCATACATTCACGGATTTTCGCGTTAACGGAAGTTTTAATGTATTTATAATTGCTTTTGAAATCTTGTTGCTTGATAGAAATGTTATGTATATGTATAGGAATGAAAATCAAGAAAACGTGCGCAGATGATCTTCTCTTCCATACGTCACATGCATTTTTTACTGTTTTTTGATTAATAAATCAAATAAATCAAATGAAATCAGAGTATGAGAGGAGTATGATATTCTAAACTACACAACCTACATGATCTTCCTAAATACCCGTTTTACGTTTTAAAATATATTGGTTTGCTATGTACAGATGTTTCAAATTTATCATTTTTAATACATTATTTAATTTATGTAGGTATAATTAAGATTATTGCAGTATTTAATTTGTAAGAAAATAGTTTAAGTAGCATTTCCACCCAGAAAATGTTATTCGAATTGTGGAATGTTTTGATATGTTGAGTACGCAAGATGGTGACAGGAAAATTGTCTTTACCAGCCATTTTACCATATCCGCATATCTTAATTCTTATTTCCGCAAATGTGGATTTAGTGGTAAGTGTTTGTGAGAAACATTGTGAAGTTTTAAAATTAGTTCATATGAAGTTGTCTATAAAAATGAACAATGTCCATGTTCTGATGGAAATGTAATGCCTTAAACTCCCAAAATAAAGCAAAATGAAAAAATATTTACATCGTGTTCTCGAAAATTCGAAAATTATTAAAGAAGAAATGAAAACTGAAAGTGACTTTGAATTTATTAGTGAACAGCTTTGGCTCCTCTCAGCAACAGCGAACCACAAAAAGTATAATGCATCTTTCATTTTTTTTACTATTATTTATATGCCTCCATGCATATAATTGTGTTAGAGATATTGGCATTTTCATTTTACCTCACCATGATACTTTAAGGTTATGGGATTAATTTACAACCTAGTGTAGAGCAACGTCATAGACATTATGTATTATATGCTGAAAGTAAATTTTATCTGCTGGATGAAAATGATGAAGTTATACTTTTGATTGAAGAAACTCATTTAGAAATCTATTTAGAGTACAAGGGTGAGAGTATTTTGGGAGGAACGTAGAGCTTTGAGAATGCTGCCACATGTGTTCGTGTTTATGATTAACAGTATTTAATCTTAGTATCAAGACGTTGGTATATATTGCATATTAAAAACAATGCAATTATTGTTTTTAAAACAATTCAATGTCTATAGAGTATTAAAAATATGGTCTTCTGAGCGTCTAGTGACAAAAATGCTGTCAAGAAGAAAGAAGTTGTTTCAAAGACTAATGAACATCAAATGGTATTTACATCCAGTAAATTCATCAAGATCTCTTTTATTTGATAGACCCTGAACACTTATGAAAATGTATTTGAAATAACTGGCTAAATTAAAATATGAAGAATATGCTTTCTTTTCATATTTTACATCGTAATTAATTCGGCATTTTTTTAATGATTCAATAGCTTAAGATTGTTGCAGAAAAAGTTTGGCTTCTATAATAAACTTCCACATAAGAATTTATTAATATTATTTGTATGTGTTTTTAATTAGAAATGTGGGTAAAATATTTAAAGGTATGCACAAAAGAAACGTATTCCAAGAATCTACGACCTTTGAGGATAGTAACCAGAAAATAATTTTTGTGAATGAGTTTCCAGATTGGTTAGAAAGTCAACCAAGTAGAGGTATCTTAACGAAAGAATCTCCGCTTGCTCTAAAGCACACATCAATGCAGTAATTGTAGTTGCTCTTTATTGTTGTGAAGAGTTTGAAATGAACTACATACCTCTAAACTTCAAATAAATACTTTATAAGAGATATTTGGCCAGTATAAGCAACTGCCATGTTTACAATATACAAATGTTCCATCAACTATGGACCACCCCCATAACGTCTAGACGGCTCAGAATATCGCAATGCATTTTTCGCTGATCAATGCGGAATCATGGGGCAAGTGACTTGCCTAAAAAATGTATATAATATTTTTAGTTTTCGATAAATTCAATCATTCTTTATTTTTTAAATGTAACTTTATATTTTTCTCACCACCAATGGATAGATCATGAAAAGAGGAATAACATCTTGCATCATTTGTTGGCATTTCGATAGTAATTTGAATATAAATTTAGACTTTCTAACATGTGATTTTGAATTAAACGGACAATATTTCATGTAGCAGCCCTTACAATTATCGCCTTCAGCGAAGGTGGCCTTAAAGTTGGCCGTTAAGACTGTTGCGTGGAGAGGAAAGACTGAGAGGGGTGGCAGTGAGGAATAAGAGGCATAGCTACAGCAGTCCATAGTCTTCACACTGAGATCACACTAAGAAAAAAAACATTTTAACTATCAGAATTACATTTTTTCCATTGACTTATCTGGATTTAACATGTTTTCTCTTGCAATTTCGAAAATCGATCATTCCAAAGAACGATAAAAAAATTGGTAGCGAAATGAAGTTGATAATAATAAATATTATTTTCAAACTTGACAAGAATCCAACCACCTTCCTTGGTAAATTTCATTTTTAATTAAAATGATCACTCCTCCACATCGAAAGCACACGACTACTGCTGTTCATAAATGAAAAAAGAAAACAGTACACTTCTGTCTTTTGTCGCGGCAGCACATGTGTTTGTGGCAGCACATGGTGCTATGAAGTGAGAAACTCTCCAATCAGTATTAGTAGTCGCGACTGCAGATGCGCATTTTTGTTAGTTTTGTAAATTTTCACTGAAAGAACTGACTAGAGTATTTTAAAATTTTTATTACTTTGTTCTTTGGACACATGTTTAAATAGGAAATTTATTAACAGTAAATAATAAGAGAAAATGTCTACCTATCTATTATTTAATAAATAAATCGAGATGCTACAATGAAAATCTTTTAAGCATTCATTCTCTTCCCATGTTTTAAAATGATGGCTGGTTTCTGCCATAACATAATGATCTTGATTCTTGTAAGTTTGAAAATTACCTTTATTATCGTCCTTACGTCACAGTTCTTTGTGTTGTTCTTTTTAATTATCGTTGAATTTCAGTAGGAGAAAAGTTCAATTCAGATCAACAAATTCGAAAAAAATCTCTCATTCTGATTGTTAATATTGATATTTGACATGTTCTTCGTGTCTAGACCATGGATTGCTGTATGCACCTATTCTTCACGGCCACCCCACTCCGACTCCTATCTTCACGAAACAGTATTGACGCCGCGAAAGCCTCCTTCTCCAAGGGGGAATGTTGTCCGCTTATTTACAAATCACGTGTAAGAAACTCTAATTTTATACTCAAATTACTATCAAAATACTAACATATAAAACGTCATTTTATTCCTCTTTTCGTTATCTATCCATTGCTGGTGAGAAAATTATAAAGTTCCATTTAAAAAATCAAAAATTATTAAATTTCTCGAAAACTAAAAATAGTATAGACCACTTCTCTAAGGCATGTTACTTACATATAGGTGTTGTGGTAGGATATCTTTGGCATTTTTAAAATAATTAAAGATGTTGTCATTGCCAACAATATTTTTTAATTCAAAAGCAGCTTTCGATGGCTAAGCCATCGAAAGCT